TGTCTAAACAAGCCCACTTTTATAACCCGGTCTTAGTATATTTCCACAATCAAGAGAACAGTTTCAAATGGTTAGGTTAGGGTAGGTTATTATCACACAGCTACAACACAATCCGGAAATATGTTTTACGTATTTTAGTCTTTCTGTGACATTTAATACTGAACTTTATACCCAATATATCCTGTATAGTGGTGGTGGGCGTAGTGGGCGTGGTGGTAGGCGTGGTGGTTGGCGTGGTGGTTGGCGTGGTGGTAGGCGTGGTGTAGGCGTTGGTGGGCGTGGTGGTAGGCGTGATGGTGGGCGTGGTGGTGGGCGTGCTTTACTCCCCTTCATCAATAACGATGTATGTAAATCACGGACCAACAACCTTCACTAACCATAAATCACCAGACGTGATAAGGAGGGAGGGAGGGAGGGAGGTGGAGGGAAGGAGTGAGGGAAGGTTGGGAGGGAGTGAAGTAGAGAGAGGGAAGGAACTGAGAGAGGGTGTGAAGGAGGTAGACGAAGGGATAGTAAGGAGGGAGGAAGAGTAGGAAGGAAGGAGGGAGTGAGGGTATAGGAGAGGAGGGAAGGAAGGAAGGAGGGATGGAAGGAAGGAATAAGGAGGGAGGGACTGGTAGAGAGATTTACCCTAAGAAAAGAGAAGAAATATCACGTCATATTTTCACGGTCTTAAGTCAGTGTTTCCCTAACTGTGTGTAACTCTCATTGATTACACCCCGCCTGCCCACCCACGTCTCCCAGCCCACCCCACACGTCTGTCCCTGCCCGCCCACACGTCTGTCCCCTGCCCACCCACCCATGTGTTTCTCCCCACCCCACCCACGTCTATCCCCGCCCACCCATGTTTCTCCACGCCCACCCACGTTTCTCCCCGCCCACCCACGTCTATCCCTGCCCACCCACGTTTCTCCTCGCCCACCCACGTTCCTCCCCACCCACCCACACGTTTCTCCTCCCCGCCCACCCATGTTTCTCCCTCGCCCACCCACGTCTCTCCCCGCCCACCCACATCTCTCCTCGCCCACTCACATCTCTCTCTCACCCAATTCACACGTCTCTTACTGTATTATAGAAAACACTTAATAAATAGTGTATTGCATCCCCGATAATCCGACAAACCCACTAATAATCCCTCGTTAATCCGGACAAAAACACAGACAAAATCCCCCAGTAATCCGAACCAGAGACTGACCTCGATAACCCGGACCAGAGACTGACCTCGATAATCCGGACCAGAGACTGACCCTGATAATCCGGACTGAAGACCATAGATTCAACTCAGGGAAAAAGATTCATTGACTGGCCAGCTGGCTGATCCTGAATGGTAGTTGAGAAACCAATCAGGAGAGGCTGTCAATAGTGGAGGGAGGGAGGAGGAGGGAGGAGGGAGGGAGGGGGGGGGAGGGAGGAAGAGAAAGAGGAAGGAAGGCAGAAGGCAGAAGGGAGGGAAGGAAGAGAGAGAGAAGGAGTGGAAGGAAGAAGGAAGGGAGGGATTCTAGTACATACCAAAATCCCACCAGGTACCGAGTTTCTACCAGGTACCGATATTCTCCAGGTACCGATATTCTCCAGGTACCGATATTCTCCAGGTACCGATATTCTCCAGGTACCGATATTCTCCAGGTACCGATATTCTCCAGGTACCGATATTCTCCAGGTACCGAGAGAGTGAGGTAGGCGGGGGCGTCACAGAGGCAAGGTGGCAGCTTTGTGTGTGTGAAATATGACTCTCATTTTGGTGGCGTCATTAGGCGGCACCTATCTTCTTCCTCCTCCTCCTCCTCCTCCTCTTCCTCCTCCTCCTCTTCTTCCTCCTCCTCTTCCTCCACCTTCTCCTTCATCCCTCCAACACCTGCCGTCGCCTCCTCCTCCAATACATGCTTCCTCCTTCTACAACATCTGCTACCTCCTCCTCTTCCTCCTTCTCCACCTCCTTCTTCTTCATCCCTCCATTGCCTGCCGCCACCTCCCTCCTCCAACACCTCCCTCCTCCAACACCCCCCTCCTCCAACACCCCCTCCTCCAACACCTCCCTCCTCCAACGCAGCAGCTCTCGACAACAAACACGATATATTTTCCAAGTAATTACTGTGACATATTGTGGAGACTTGTGTCATCTTTTGGTTAGGTTAGGTTGGGTTGGGTTAGGTTAGGTTAGGGAAGAAAAGAGGAGAAAGAGAGAGATATGAAGAGAAAGAGAGAGAGAGAGAGAGAGAGAGAGAGTTACGGGGGGGATGTGTTGTGGCGTCTCCAAGGTACTTCTCTCTAATGGTTCTTTAAGGAGCTACGCCATTACTCCTGCATTAGTGGTATAACATGTTCTTCCCCCTACCACAACTACTACCACAAATACCACCACTACTACCACTATTATTACCACCATCATCACTACTACTACTATTACTACAACTACTACTATTACTACTTCTAATATTGCCACCACAACTACCACTATCATCACCATTACCACCACAACTACCACTATCATCACCATTACCACCACAACTACAACCACACAGACATAACAAACACACTAAAAAAACAGACATAAACATCAACACACACACACACACACACACACACACACAGACAGCGGTGTTGCACTCATGAATATTCGTTGAACACAAATAAACCCGAGTAACTTTACATAATCTGGAATTAGTGTGTGGAGGCCAGACCGTGACGGAACATAACCCGGAAATATAGCGAGGTTGATGGAGGCTGAGGTTTATTGTAGTGAGGGAGGTGGTGGGGGGGAGAGGGGGGGAGGGGGTTGTTGGAGAAGAAGGAGAGAAAAAGGGGTAATTGACGACACCAGAACCTAACCTAACCTAACCTAACCTAACCTAACCTAACCTAACCCCACAAGAGTACCACCTAAAGATACTCACCTGGGGATTCACTCTACAGGTAAGTCTATTCAGGTTAATTAGTCCGTTTTACCTAATGATCTCCAGGTAGAGTTAATTTCTTGGGGCAGGTAACAATAGTGAGCGTTCCTTAACCACGTAACACAAGTAAAAGTTCCTTAATAAGTAACAGTAGTAAGCGTTATCTCAGGTATACGAAGGCAGGTGCGTGTTATTTTAAAGGGTTAATTATGTTTAATGAGAGTTGCTCTAAGTAACTCAGGTGTAATTTTACTCATGACAGGTGTGTGCGTGTGTGTGTGTGTGTATGTGTGTTATCTACGGTCTCTCTCTCTCTCTCTCTCTCTCTCTCTCTCTCGACGCCTTAAGAACGAAACATCTTTTAATATCTCAAACATTTTCTACTAAAGTTGTAAGAGAGGCTGTGTAATTACCAGTCTGGCTGACAGATTGTTCCGGCTCGCCTCCATCCGGCCCGCCTCCATCCAGCTCGCCCCCCCATCCGGCTCACCCCTCCATCCGGCTCACCCCTCCATCCGGTCTCACCCCCATCCGGCTCACCTCCATCCAGCCACCCCATCCGGCTCCACCCCTCCATCTGGCTCACCCCTCCATCCATCACCCCTCCATCCGGCTCACCCCCATCCGGTCTCACCCCATCCGGTCTCACCCATCAAACACCCCCTATCCGGCTCACCCCCTATCCGGCTCACCCTTCAATACCCTTCCCTCACCCCTAACATACATCAAACTCCACCAAATAAGCATCACACGAACCAAACTATGCCATATATATAAAACATTTGGCTGTAGTGTTTTTTAGGATGTGGAAACGAAATTATCGTCTAATTAACTCTCATTGGACAAAAATAGCCGGCGGTACACAGGTAATTATCCGTAACGAGTCCACCTGTACCGTCACCATGGCAACAATATCAACCCTTTGCAATTAATTTTTTATTTTTTTAATATATATCCTATGTGTGTGTGTGTGTGTGTGTGTGTGTGTGTGTGTGTGTGTGTGTGTGTGTGTGTGTGTGTTTTATGGGTATATTATTGTTTTTGGAGCTATGGGTGGGGTGGTGGGGGGTAGGGGGGGAGAGAGGGGAGGGAAAGGGAGGAGGGGGAAGGGAAGGGGAGGTGGAGGAGGGGAGGAGGTCGTGCAGGTCATTATTGGTGTATATGGGTTTTGTTTCCACACACACACACACACACACACACACACACGCGTCAGGCATCACTATCAGAGAGGATGTTATCATCACTACTGAGGACAAGGCCGTGTTGTTTACTGATATAACACACACACACACACACACACACACACACACACACACACACACACATACACACACACATACACACACCGGTTAAATCCAGTGCAGTAGTGTGTGTGTGTGTGTGTGTGTGTGTGTGTGTGTGTGTGTTAGTAGTAGTACCAACATCTCAACCATTACAATTAACAGTTCAACCCTAATAGTCCTAATGGTCAAATTAAGTAAAACTTCAGCCTATTAGGACAGGGGCCCAATAGGACTGGGGCCCAATAGAACAGGTGTGGTTCCTTCATTACCTGACATGAATACCTTAATTATCTAATCACTTTAATTCACATAATGACCACAGAAACAACTTAAAGGTTTATTTAAGTCACTTGACACAATTAAGAAAAAAATGTCAAGTTGTTTTTGTATATATGTAAGTAACTTTAATATTACTTAAGGATATATAATCACAAGAGCCAGATGTGTGAAGGTGTGTGAGAGTTAAAGTGTGTTAAAGTGTGTGAGAGTGTGTGAGTGCGTCAGGAGGTAAATATTAGCCTTTCACTCATACGGACACTAGCAGCATCAGGGCGTCAAATAAACATTGATGACACAACTATTACCTGCTAGTGATAAATGTTGCTAGGTTACAGCATATTACACCACGGTCCAGTAGGTCAGGTTACAGGTGTGTTACAGGTGTGTTGGCTGTATATAAGGTTCACCTGTAGGTTAGACACTCTAGCTTATTTCACCTGATGCTTAATTACCACAATGCTAACCTAACCTAATCCCCCAGGTAGCGTTAGGATGTCTAATCTTCAGGTGAATTGTGTTTATTTATGGTAAAAAAATATATCAATAAATTTCTAACTGTTTTTATTACCTGAAATTAACAAATCAATTAACAGGTAACTATTTTTACACACCTGGAATGTTTGTTTCAGCTTATAAATTTTAAATACACATATACAAAAAATGGCTACATATAACTTTGATAAACAAGGTCACAGAATATAGCTACACTCATGTGAGGTCAAATCTACTAACTCATATAACTAACTAAAATGTCATCATATACAACAAACTTACTTCACCTCTCCAGTCAGTGACGTGTTCAGTGACGTGTTCAGCCAGGGTTCAGTGACGTGTGCAGCCAATGATGTGTTCAGCTAGGGTTCAGTGACGTGTACAGCCAATGACGTGATCAATGACGTGTTCAGTGACGTGTACAGCCAGAGTTGAGACGAGGAGAGAGTTACTTCACCTTGAACACGGGAGTTCGACGAGCCCAGAAGGTTTGAGCGGCCCCCAACACGAGGAGGAACTGGGCGGTGTAGTAGGTGGAGAGGACGATGAACTCACAGTAGACACGAGGCATCAGACGACCCACCTGCAGCACCGCGATACTTACGTCAGAGATCACGAAGATGACGGCTCCTGCAGCAGTACACAGGCGTCTCTCAGCTGGTAGGTCCTTCCTCAGGCGAGCTCTGGAGGGCCACACATACAGGTGAGAGGGGCGGGGCGCGGAAGGATTGACCAAGGGATCTCTCTCTCTCTACCTGTTTCACATTACACACTTACACCACACCACCACCACACTCTTATACCACACCCTCACACCACACCCTTACACCACACCCTCACACCACACCCTCACACCACACCCTCAGTTCACTCCAGGTAATTGGTAACTTGTGAATAAAAAACGAGATGTTGATGTTAATTCCCTCACTACAGCAACACAGGGAGGGGAGGGAGGGGTCGGGGAGTAGGTGAGAGGGGAGAAGGAAAGGGAAAGGAGTGGGGGACAGCTGAGGAGGGGGCAGAATAAGGGAGTATGGAGAAGGGGATAAATTGGTAAGGTGAAGGGAGAGGTAGAGAAAGTAGGGAGGTGAAGTGTTTGTTTACCAAGAAGCCATCATGACGTCACTAAGCCCCGCCCACTCCCCCAGACACGCCCCCCCCCCCTATAATAAGTTGTTGTGAGGGACAGAGAGAGAGTGACCTTGTTGACGGCAGTACTCGACCACGACAGTACTATCAGCTGTTTGGTCACCGTGAGTAAACAACAATGACTGAACACTATGACAGGTAATGATGTGTATTGCTTTTATTACCTGTTCTAATTAGTTAACTATATGAGCAAGGTAAGTGTTATTATTATTATTATTATTATTATTATTATTATTATTATTATTATTATTATTATTATTACCACTACTACTACTACTACTACTACGGTATTATTATCGTCAACACAGGTGAGTCTACTACAACAGGTGTGACTGACTTACCTGTCCATGGCGCGCCAGATCATGGTGACGAGGACGAAGGAGTAGAAGGTAAGAGCGATCTTCATAACAGCGTCAGGTAGTCCAGGTAGTATGGCCATCATCACCAGCAGGTTACCTCCATGTAGTGCCGTCCCCACCACCCAGCTCACCTTACTGAACCCGAAGGCGACGATGTAGGTGATCTGTGCCAACCCGAAGAACGCCAGACCAACCAGAAACAGGTCCTCTGGCCACGCCTGAGAGAGGGAGAGACTACGTGTTATGAGACGACTATAACACCTGAGAGAGAGAGACTAACCTAACCTAACCCCACAGGTAAAGACAGGTTGTTTAATCACCAGGTGTAATCATGAGGTAAGGCACACTCACCAGGCAAGCGTCACCGATGACAGAGAAGATGAGCGCCACAAGACCCAGGTTGGCCTCCCGTCTGCCCCTCTCCAGCACCACCAGGAACACCTTCAGGCACACTATAGGCACACACTTTAACACCATCCCCACCAACGACGGTACCTCTGCCGGCACGTACCACACTAAGGACGCCGCCACGGACACCAGGTAGGGTAGGAAGTAGTGGACGGGCGAGCCATTACTGGTGGGGGCGCCTTTCTTGACCGCCATCGTCCTGTTGTTGCCTGAAGAAGAGGAACAACGCTAATAACAACAACAACAACAATACTCAACACCATCACAACACCACACACTCACCACCACCATAATCACACAGGTGCTCTAACACCAACACACACTATTAGGGAGGTGATCATTAGTCCCATTATCTCACTTATAAACCATAAACACATCACTATAAGTCTTAAATTACAACTGCGGTCACTTTTATACACGACAAACAGCTGTAAGTAAACACAAACAGCTGATTATAAATAAAAACACAGCTGATCACACGTCACGACAGCTGATTATGGACGTACTCACTAAGCTGATCACAACAACAACAGGTGAGATGCACAGGTGAGACGTACAGGTGAGGCAGCAGGAGGAGGAGGTAGGAGGTGCAAGTCCTGTGGTTGAGGATGCTTACAGGTGAGAAGACGACCAGGTATGTGTGTGTGTCTGTAGAGGAGGAGGAGGAGGCAGCTAGGGGGCGAGGAAGGGAGGTTTAGTGTAGGTGCTTCAGGCAGGTTAACTGAGAGACTCTCCTCCAACCTTGGGTCTTGATAGTGGCTTATCTCTCAACACTGGCTTGGTTAGGTTAGAGTTGCCGTGTAGTACCTTAAAACACACACACACACACACACACACACACACACACACACACACACACAAAGATGGTATGGTGGTGGAGATGCTGTGGTGATGGTGGTGGGGGTGGAGATACTGTGGTGGTGGTGGAGATGCTGTGGTGGTGGTGGAGATGCTGTGGTGGTGGTGGTGGTGGTGGGGGAGGGTGGGAGAGTGTTGTTGAAGATGAAACTCTAATCTGGTAACAAAGGATGTCGGGAAGACCTCTGAGGCTGATGTGGCAACACTGATAATGCAAGAACATCCTCTACAGGAGTGTGGGGGGGGGGCGGGGGAACCAAGACCTTGAGTGTGTGTGTGTCTGAGAGTACAGCCACTCACACTCACTCCCACTCACTCTCACTCAGTTACTCACACACACACACACACACACACACACACGACTACTCCAGGTGTGTGTGTGTGTGTGTGTAGTAGCAGCCGGTATAAAGTACATGGAGGTTAATGACTGATAATGACCCCACAGTACTGTACAGGGCTTCTGAGTACTGCCCTCTCAACAACACCAAAAGATACCTGTCTGTGTGTGCCTGTCTGTACTGTCTGTTTGTGTGTGTGTGTGTACTGTCTGTGTGTGTGTGTGTGTGTACTTGCTGTGTGTGGCCTGTCTGTCTGCTGTCTGTCTGTGTGTGCCTGTCTGTACTGTCTGTCTGTGTATCTCTCTGTATCATGTCTGTCTGTCTCTCTGTCAGTACTGTTAGGTTAGGTTAGCGTTAGGTTAGGTTAGGTACATAAGAATGGAAAACTGCAGGTCAAACAACAGCAGGCCACACAAGTGGCAGACAACAGCAGGCCATACAGGAACAGGCCAGACAACAGCAGGCCATCTATCGGTACTATAAATCTCCTGTGTGTGGATTTACGTGGATTTATACCAGTGTAAGTGAACCACTCTCTCTCTCTCTCTCTTCTTCTTCTCTCTCTCCTCTCTCTCCTCCTGCCCTTTCCCTCACTCTCTACCAGTCCCTCTCACTCCTCCCCTCACCCCCTACTCCCCCCCCTCCTCCCCCCCCTTAGCCTCCTCGTTGATTACTAGAAAGGAAAAATAGAAAGATTAATATCATTCTCTCTTTGATCCCCAGCAGCTGTAGTGGTGATACTTAAACTCTGACCTGTCCTCAACCTACCTAACCTGTCTGACCTGCCTGATCTAACCTGACCTGTCTTCAACCTAACCTAACCTAACTAACCTGACTCAGCCTGATCTAACTAACCTAACCCGACCTGTCCTCCAACCTTCCTAACCTGTCATTGACCTGATCTAACCTGACCTGTCAACCTAACCTAACCTAACCTGACCTGATCTAACCTGACCTAACCCGACCTGTCCTCAACCTAACTGACCACCTGATCTAACTACCTAACCTGTCCTGTCCCCAACCTAACCTAACCTGACCTGACTGACCTGATCTAACCTAACCTAACCTGACCTGATCTAACCTGACCTAACCCGACCTGTCCTCAACACAACTGACCTGACCTGATCTAACCTAACCCTACCCCAACAAATATATTGGGTCATACATCTCACCAGGTAAGCCTCACTGCATCTGACGTTAATAATGAACTACCTCGTAAATCTCACCTTAATAGAAGTAAAACTCGTAAATATTTTCTCTTATCTTCACTTTTCTTTTCTTCCGTCGAAATAATGGCGTAGATATCGACGGATCAAAGATTAAGCCCCAGCTTTGTTCACCTATTGATTTGGCAACTTGGTGTTAAATGGGACGAGGGTTAGGTTAGGGGCGTGGTGTACAGGCGTAAAGGAGACGTGGGCGTGGTAGAGGGCGTGTGATCGTGACTACAGGCGTGGCACAAAGAGTCTCCGTATCTACAGGCGTGGCAGAGGGCGTGTGGGCGTGGCTACTGCAGCGAGAGCCACACAATAACGGGAAATACCTCGGCGGGTCTGACGTCATAGTTTCAAGCCCCATGACGCCATCGTTTTAGCCCCGCCTTCACCCAATTACGTCACAATAGCTATATCCCCAATACAAATCCGGATCAAGTCTCCGTCGCCTACACGAACGTAAACACAAGACAACAACAAACAAACCTCCAACACATTCTAGAAAATAAATCAACAGAAAAAAAAAATAATACCAGTGCACAATTATATAGAAAATTCTTTAAAATAAACATAAAAATAATTAATTAATTCAGTCAAATCAACAAGGGATAAAATATAGACGAATGGATGTTGTTCCGGTAAACAGACCACCTCAGCTGTGGTCTTACCCAACAGGTCTTAAAGAGGATGAAGAAAGATTACCAAGTTTCCTAAAAAGGTCTTAAAACTGTTTACTTCAGTTTTTAATTTAAAGATTAAAAAAGATTTATAAGACTTTCTCGGTACTGGTATGTGTGCGGCTCGTGTTCCAATACTGTGAACCTTCCATATATTAGAGACAACTGAACTATTTAATTATCAAACGACAGAACAAATTTGACTAAGCCTAAAAACAAATCTAACTTTGAAGAACCGAAAGGAACTGTTAAATAAATAAATAAATAAAGTCGGCCATCTTGCTCTTGGTACTTCTCTCAACATTGTATATGGTGGATGTTGACGATGTTATCTTTAAGAGAGAGAATGGCAGAGGGGTAACGAGCCTAACTGTTTTGCTGGTGATGTTACGCATATTCTTATCATTTATACGCTTAAGATACATATTATAGCATGATTTATAGGTTAAGTAGTATCATAAACGTTAAACTATAAGAAAAACGACTTAATTGATTAGAAAGAATTAGTAAAATGAATAATTATGATGTCTTAACCCCTTACATTGAATGCTTACAGAGGCAACTGACACACACCTGCCCATTAGAGACCTTCAAGCACTCATGTGACGTATTGGGTTTATTACTAGTTAGAGGCAGACGACATAACTACACACCCGTCCTGTCACACACTGTATTATTGTTATTGTTGTTATTTGGTTATTGTTGTTGTTGTTATTATTATAGGAAAAAACACATAATTTATAAGCGACTTTCTCTTACGTTTATATATATATTAGTTTATATATACAGGTACAGCCCGTGAGCACACTAAACAAACATTCACCAGGTATTGATTACTTCATGTTGACCAGGTGAACCTTCGTGTTAATGGACAGGTGATATATCAGGTCACATTACTAACGTAGGAGGGTAATGGTGCAGCCGCCGCCACACTACCACAGCCACACCACTACCACCACAGTCACACCACTACTACCACAGTCACACCACTACTACCACAGCTACACCACCACTACCACTATTACCACAGCCACACCACTACCACAGTCACACCACTACACAGCTACCACCACTACACCCTACAGCCACACCACTACAGTCACACTACCACACCACCACTACCACAGCTACACCACCAACACCACCACACCTCCACACTACCACTATACCCACAGCCACCACACCACTGACCACCACTACCACAGCTACACCACCACTGCTACCACCACTACCACCTACCACCTAACCACAGCCCCACCACACCACAGCTACACCACCACCACCACAGCTACCACCACTACCACACTACCACCACTATTGCCACAGCCACACCACCACTACCACCTCCACTACCACAGCTACCACCTTCACCACCACTATTACCACAGCCACCACAACTACCACTATTGCAACCACCACTACCACACTACCACTATTACCCACAGCTCCACCACCACTACCACACTACCACTATTACCACAGCTACACCCCTACCACACCACTACTACAGACCACCACTACAACCACACCACCACTACCACAGCCACACACACTACCACACTACACTATTGCCACAGTCACACCTACCACACCACCACTACCACAGTCACACCACCACTACCACAGCCACACCACAGCCACCACTACCACACAAATTCCATGATGAATATTTGACCCCCAAATTCTCAGCTTATATTTGCCTGGGTAGACATTACCTCAAACAGACACACACACACATTCACATCCGTATACATCACTTGTACACACACAAACATACACGGACGTAAACACACACACACACACACACACACACACACACACACACACACACACACACACACACACACACACACACACACACACCTTCTACACTATTCAATTAAGAAACATTGTAAGTTATATATGTGGTCGTCTCACACAACAAGCCCCGCCCACTCCCTTCCTTCTCTTCCTCCTGATTCTTCTCTTTCTTTCTTCCCTATTTTCTTCCTCTTCTTCTTTCTTTATTCCTTATTTTCTTCCTTTTCTTCCTCAATTATTACTTTTTTGACATTTTTCATTACGTATGTATCAGTGCACCTTGTTCCCACCTGGAGGTGAGGTAAGGTAAGGTAAGGTAAGGTAAGGTAAGGTATTGGTTAATTAGGTTAGGTTAAAGTTTGGTTTGGTTTGGTTGGGTTACGTTTAGGTCATCATCTTGAGGTGGTCTAGAAGGTCTAACCACCACCGGCAATCTAATGACGTTGTTAAAGAGGGTGGCACTGTGTTGACTCCCTGTGATCTCGGCACTTGACACTACTTCAGGATGGCACTAGAGCGGAGGGGGGGGGAGTGTGGGGTGGTAGAGGGTTGAGCTATCCAGGGTGACAGGGTGCGAAGGAGTGTCAGGGTGTGGCAGGGGTGGTAAGTGTTGGCGGAGGTGGCAGGGTGGTGGCAGAGTGTGGCAGGGGTGTGAGCCAGCCACACCACACACACTACATTAAGAGGCTGGCTGCTCAGGTCTGGATCTATCTGCTTAATGAACATCATAGTCTCTCCTTGCCCTGGGTCACACACACACACACACACACACACACACACACACACACACACACACAAACCTCCCCTCCATCCAATGTCCATCTCGTAAGCTTCACTACACACCCGCCTACACCCTACACCCATATCACATTGTGTGGTGGGAAGTC